TCATGCCATGGATTCCCAGCCTCGGGGCTGCGGTTTCGAGAATTCCTTCCTCTGATGTGATGGACACAGACTAGTTGCTGGGAGCAGGTCTTTTGCTTGGGCTATGGTCAGTACGATGAGAGGAGTAGGAAAAGCGAAGTGCTTGTACAGCTGGCGACTCGGACGAGTGAAAGCCACAGTCCTCCATCTGACCAGTTCTACTAGCGGGCAGAACCTCTAAACTGTGTCATAGGCGCCTGTAGGTAGTTTGTGGGTGCACCACACTCCCAGCCTTGAGCTGAGGTTTTTGCCGTAGCAGGTTGGCCGACCAGCCCGAGAGACTATGTCTCGCCCCTTAGGGGCTCCGGGCGAATTCATTTGCATGCAGGACGCCCACTGGGTAACGCTTTCGCGCTTGCTGAAGAAAATCCATGTTTCTTTGTTGTCCTGATGTACAGGTAGCTGTCTGGCACATGCAGGTAGGGAGTTTTCTGCTTGAGAGTGTCTGCACTTGTGAGTTTTGTGGACGAGAGTGACTTCACTTGCGTTTCGTCACGTCTCGTATCGTTCGTTTGTGTTTTGTTCTTGCAGAAGCTGAGCAGTGACAGTTTGGGAATGTGGCTCATGTGTTTCACACAGTTCGGAGCCCAATAGCTGAGACCGCGCTCGCTTTGGCTCAAGGAAAAAGAAAGCGAGTGCTTGCGACTCTGCTTTTCACACTTCCTGTAACTTGCTCGAGGTTCCACCAAACTCAACAAGCTGAGCGGGCCCAGCAACAAGGAAGCCTGCAAAATCGGCCGCTGCGCGGGCAGGAACTTACCTGTACCTGCTCCGAAAACTAGGCATGCTCCCTATGGCCATGAGGTCGAGCCTCAAACTTTCCATGCGTCGCTGCAAACACAAGGAGCCTCCAAATAGGGACTCCCCAAAGTCTATGCGAGGACGCCGGACTCACACAGCGCCGTGCAATCAATGGCAGGGGGGGATGAAAACCTGCATCCTACTCCTGCTCGGATGGCAGCATTGTGTGGCCACACCGGCCCCTCTCTCGCCAGGGGAGAGGGAAGTGGGTGCCCCTTCTGGCACTCTGTGTGCATTGTGCATTTGCGCATTCGTACTTTCTTCAGTGTGCTTGCAACTTTCTTGTCAACCCAAAAAGGTGTACTGAGTGCTACGCTTTGCTGCGGCCCTGGCGCTGGTGTGGGAACTGTCTCCACGGACGCGTTGAGCAGTTCGGATGCCTTACGGCCTACCCATACCTTCGCTTAATGTCTGTACCAGACGTGGCGCAGCGTTGCTATGGGTGTCGGGCTTCTGAGTGAACGGTGCCGGCAGGTTCTTGTTTTCCTTGGTCTCACCTTGCTGGCCTTGTGTTAAGTTTCTGCAATAAGGCGTCTGCGTTAGCGGTTGCTTCTTTGTAGTCACAACTTCTTTTACACTCGCTGGTTTGTACAGTTTGGCTCTCAAAGTAGCTGTCAGACCCACAAGAACTGCCTAATGTGCTGCTGATGTAGTAAAGAGGCGCCCGCTTAAAAAAAATCCTCCTTGGGTTTGTGCTTGTTGTCGATTCTTCATTTTGGACCATTTCCTGGAGCTGAGCCTTGCACCCAAGTTTAGCCATCTTCATCTCCACTTCAAGCTGCTCAACGCCTCCATTTACAGAAGGTCCTGCTTGTGTTGGCTCTCTCAAACCGCCAGACTGGCCTAACACTTCCAGAGGTCCTCCTGGGCAGAGGTCAGGATTTTGATTAGGCTCCTTTCTGGCACCGATGCGCAGCCTGCCCCACCCCGAATCTTTTTCAGGGTTGCAACTTCACTCTGCCTTGTATGGCTTTAAGCCTGTTGTTGCAAAGTGCTGCTTTGTGACGGCCAATCAAGCGTGGAAGAAGTGCTGCGACAAGATTCACTTGTGAACCTACTGCAAGAAGGTGTGCTGAGTGCTACGCTATTGCTACGGCCCTGGCGCTGGTCTGGGAACTGTCCAGTTTCGGTGACGGAGGTACTTTCGCTTAATGTTTGTACCAGACGTGGCGCAGCATTGCTATGGGTGACGGGCAACTGAGTGATTGGTGCCGGTAGGTTCTTGTTTTGATTGGTCTTACCTCGCTGGCCTTGCGTTAAGTTGTCTTGCAATCAGGGCCTCTGCGCTGGCGGTTTCTTCTTTGTAGTCACGACTTCTTTTACGCCCGCTGTAGCTTGCGCAGTTGGACTCTCTAAGTAGATGTCTGTCTCACCCTGAGTGGATTGTCCAAACAAAATTGGCCTACTGGGCTGCTGACGCAGTAAAGAGGCGACCATCTCAAAAAAAAAACACGCCATTTATGCGGAACGGTGGTGCTCCTGTAGCGAAATCTGGCCCATGGAAAGGTTCGTGTCCTTTTTCCCCATTGTGTTGATTCGCACTTCAACTCGTATGAAAGCCGTGCCCAATTTGTCTTTTCATTGCACAACTTACAATGTACCTGCCACCTCGCTGTCTCCATTCGATCAGCTGACATGGAACTTGTTGTCTGGATGTAACATACCATGTTCCCTGCACATTGTATCGTGCCAGTTTCCCTGGTGGAATTCCTATGCCCACCGGCACCTGATGCATTTCGAGAACCATATCACTGAAAGAAACTGCCACACCAGCACCGCAGCACACCGCAGAAGGCGCCCAGTGAAAAAGGAGGACTTCACCGAGGCGCCCCCTATGGCTCTGCACATGCAAACTTTAAAGTTCCTGAAGACAACACTTGAAAACGCGCATGAAAGACATGTCCCAAAGATCCCAGCATGCAAAGTAGATAAAGAAGTAGAAATACGACCGTGTAAATGTCTACGGTGAGCAAGCAAGTGCCCACTTTTGAGCCGAGAGCCTTTGTTGATGGAGAGCAACATGGTGGTGCTAGTGCATCAGCTGGTCTGCGAGCCAGTGCAAGGCGAAAGCAAAGCAGGCCGCAAGGAGAAGGCTTGGTGCGACAATGAAGTTTGGATTGCAGTGTCGCAGGGACACCGGTATCACAGAGTGGCTGTGGAAAGTTGAACAGTGCAAGAGAAGTGACAGCTACGAAAGCACGAGGCCGAGGCTATAAGCATACTTGTGCCTGGGGAAATGCTCATGATGCGAGCGGAGATTTTGTACAGCGCTTATGTGGCCATTGTAATGCGTAGCTCAAAAGCATGCGACGACATTTACAAACCGCTTGGCTGCAGCAATTTACTGCCAATCCGAACTACCCGAAGTCGCAAGCCGTGGAGAGGCGAGCAATCCGAATGGACACGGTCCGATGCTAAAGAGGGCATCACAATACTTCATACTGGTGTGCGAAAGGCCACGCAGGCCGAGAAACAAAACGGCAAACAAACAAAAAACCAACTCCAACTTCTTTCAGACGTTACTGGGCACTAGTTGTTTTAGAAATTCCCCAATCAATCTTCTTCTCTAGCCTATGTCTGCGCTTTGGCTCCCACACATGTTATCGCCTGGTTCCATCTTTGTCTTTTACCCTGAAATCCGCCCATCGGCATTCCAACTGACAGTTTTTACAAGTGTTGCTGCAATTGGTAAGAATACATGCAGCAAATCTTTAATTTGTTGCTTGCATCGAATCAAGACGAACATTGCTTGGATGCTGGCACGAGTTCTTGGAGATCTTCCTGCATCTTGCTGAACAAGTGGTGACATTGGATGATGTTTTTCGATTCCGAAAACGAGCTCGAAGAAGTGGTTTCCCGCTGGAAAACGCAGGTCCAAAAAATCTGCCCGTTTTCCAACGCTTGCGCCCAACCTGCAGGGTCTCACCCAAGCACTGTGGTGTTCTCGCAGATGTGAGGATACGCTGTTAAGCATGACCCTTCCGGATTGCATGCTGACAATTCAGGACAGCTTTCGGCGCTTTTACCAGGTCTCCTAAGGTATAGTGTTGCTCCAGGTTCGGCGCAAGTTATGCCACCTTGGTCGAGTCGGCTCCTTCTGTTGCCAGGCACGTTGCAAGGTCACCGCACAGAAACTCGGGAACTGCAGTGTGCGGCAACCGTCACAGAGGCAGCAGAGCCCCAAGATCTTTGCGTGTACGGTGCTTGTAAGGCTCCAAGCCTGTGTTTTCCGAGCGGGGAACCACTTTTCAGCCTTGGAATCGAAAAAATATCGTCCCCTTCAGCAAAATGCAGCTGGAAAACTCCATAGGATTCTACAGCACCCAGGTATTGCTTGCTTTATTCTTGTTAAGCAATCGGATTGACACGTGATGCATGTTTAGTCTTGCCAATTGTGCCAACAATTGTGCTGGAAGATCTTCTTTAGTTTGTTCAGTTTCCTAATTCAAGCTACACCGTTTACTGTTGCGTCCTGGACGGAGTGACTGCGGAAAGACATCGTGAATGTTTTTGTAAGTTGAGAATTCCAAAAGGATATCCAAGAAGGGTCTTGTCATTTATGTTTGCATAGCTGCCGCTCACGCAATGTCTTAATATATTTGTTGGCCGACTGGAGATTTCTAGTGATTCCAGTGGAAGTCAGAATTTGTAAAGTGTAGCCGAGATGCTCGATCGTGGACCTGGTAAGGAAACTGACCTGGGAAAGTTGCCCTGGAGCCCCGTGCAGCCTTCTTGGGTCAGTTCCGGACCAGCGCTTGGCCTGCCCTGATCTTATTTGGAAGCTTTGCTTGAAGCCAGATGAATCATTGTAATTGTCCAACTTGATATCGCAACGGTGATGCGGCCTAGAGCTTGGAGTTCAGTGTTCCGGCCTGGGCCTTTGTAGATTTTAGGGCTCAGGGTTCAGGGGATGTTCTTCAATGTTGATTGAAACTCTTTGAGGCGACACAACACAACGAGGGGGCTGCTCTTCCACTTTGTTGCTTAGACCCTCCGAACGAGCTCTTGTAGACTTTGCTTTTGGACAGGGGTGTTCGCTTGCGGACACAAGATGCTGTGCAGAATTTCGAGTATTTTGTGACTGTGTGATATGTGCGAACATGTGCCGGCCTTAACCATGGCATGACATGCAGCCGTTCATATCTCAGATCTCCATTTGAATGAAGCAAAATCAGTGCGCAAAGCTTACTGCCGCCATGATTCAGGTGACTGGGATTGCAAGTTTGCATGCCGTTTGAACAGTCGGAGTCGGAACCGGAAGCCCTATTGATGGGCTTTGTGTGGGGCCTGTCTTCCCGTTCAGCTGGCAAGCGGGGGGCATGTTTCGGGTCAGATGTTTGCGTGGGGATGGCACTGATTCGTAAGAACTGCAAGGAGCTTGTGTTTGCCCTCCCGCATTGCCTAGAAAGACGAGCGTTTGAACCCTAAACCCGAAGTTCAGTTGTCTGTAATCAAGGTAAGCCGCTTTCTGGTGATTACATGGCTGGCCGGGCCACTTGGATGGCTCGCTGGAAGTCCCTGCGTCCAAGCATACAAGCTGGCCGAGACGCCCATCAATATCACCAATTCAAACGACCCGACAGTGGTTCGCGAGGCCGCGGTGGTTCAGAGTTGTGGCGAGTCACTGCCTCATTCCTTCACCCTGACCGCTTAGGTGGAGCGATTGTTGGGGAACACCTTGGTGCATGATGCAGGCGAGGTGAACTCAATGCACAAGCCGCACGAGGCGGCGAGAAGCGTCGAACTGCTCACCGAATGCGAAGTTTTTTGGGTAGCTGCAGCTGTTTGCGCTGCCAGGAAAACGCCACCAATGGCACTGCTGGCATGGATAGTCTGGCCCGCAACTTGGAGTTCCTGCTGCTCAAGGTGGGTTGAGGGTGAGGAGGGCCGGCTACCTAGAGGTCTTGTTAAGCAGTTTAGTTGAAGTTTCTTGAGTAGAGTGCTGTAGAAACTGTAGTAAATATTCTGATATGGTCTCCTGAGAATGGAAACTTAAGCGAAAGCCCAGAGAAGGCGTGGCAAGTTAGCCCCCTAAACCCTAGACCCAAAACCCTAAACCCTAAACCCTAAACCCTAAACCCTAAACCCCTAAACCCCTAAACCCCTAAACCCCTAAACCCTAAACCCTAAACTGCGAAACGCAGGTGGGGCAGCTGGAGACGGTGGTGCAATTGCAGCAGGCCGAGCTCAACGCCGCGCATACCGAAATCGATGCCTTGAAAGCGCATGTTGGTTGCTTGGCTGCGCATTCTGCGATTGTTATGATTATTATTATCATTATCATTATTTGATTTATTTTTTTGTTACTACTATTATCACGTTTTATTATTATTACTAGTATTGTTATAGTTATAGTTCTTGTTATTGTTATTGTAGTGTTATTGTTATTGTTATTGTTATTGTTACTGTTACTGTTACTGTTATTGTTATTGTTATTGTTATTGTTATTGTTATTGTTATTGTTATTGTTATCATTTTTGTTATTGTTATTGTTATTGTTACTGTTATTGTCATTGTTACTGTCATTGTTATTGTTATTGTTATTGTTATTGTTGTTGTTATTGTGATTGTTATTGTTGTTGTTGTCGTCGTCGTCGTCGTCGTTGTCGTCGTTGTCGTTGTGGTTGTGGTTGTGGTTGTGGTTGTGGTTGTTGTTGTTGTTGTTGTTGTTGTTGTTGTTGTTGTTGTTGTTGTTGTTGTTGTTGTTGTTGTTGTTGTTGTTGTTGTTGTTGTTGTTGTTGTTGTTGTTGTTGTTGTTGTTGTTGTTGTTGTTGTTGTTGTTGTAAGATTCTGGCCCAAGATGAGGATTTTATTTCTCGTAGCCGTAGCGAGCTTTCTTGGGTGCCTGGGTCCCAAGTCCCAGGGTCCAGCCATGGATCAGAATCGAGGGTTTCGGGAAGTAGCGCCCCCCGATGAAGCTGAGCAGCATGCGCAGCGAAGTCAGCTAACCATGAACAAAACCGGCAAGCGAAGCTACCAAAGAGCTTGTAAAGTTGCCCTGGCGAAGGGAGCAGCACTTTACAAAGGCCGACTTCTGACCGCTCAGGCTCTAGGAGCCCATGAAGACCAATTTGCAGTCTCTGAGAAGCCAGAGAAGCAATCTTTTCAGCCGATCAGACAGTATCACCACAAATTTGAAATTGAGGTTTTATCTTGGAACGCAGGTTCAATAACGAGTCGAGTTTGGAATGAGCTTCTGGCCATTTTGGCAACACCAGAATATCAGAACATCAAGCTTGTGCTGCTGCAAGAATCCCACTGGCAGCAGGACCAAACCTACAGCTCAGGTCCATGGTCAGTCCTCACCTGTGGCTCTGAGAGTAGACATAAAGCCGGCCTCGTTGTCCTTGTGCATCGATCCGTGGCCCAGCTCTCAGAGATTCGCAGCACCACCATAATTCCAGGGCACCTGCAGCATGTCATGATTCCTTGGCAGAGGTCTAGGATCCATCTACTCAATCTGTATCAGCATGTTTGGGACTCCAAACTCTCCAAGTTGGACAATAGACGACGGAGGAAGGATGTGCTGAGTCAACTTGAGACTCGCCTTCGCAGAGTGCCTTTGAGAGACTTTATGCTTGTTGCCGGTGATTTCAACTCACATGCAGTCACAGAGCGTCCTTTCATTGGGCCCAGTGTGCCTCGCCGAGCCAGATTTGCCAATGCAGATGTTAGATCGCTCCCAGAACTGTGCAGATCTTGTGGGCTGACAGCGCTCAACACATGGGCCTCCAGCCATAAAAGCACTTATGCAAACAGCGATGGCACATATGAGTCTCAAATTGATTTTCTGCTAGTTCGACTGCAGGATGCCCGGAGGCGGTCGAAGGAGGCTTCCTCCGATAAGAATTTTCCAGTTGCAGCGTACCGGGATGGCTCCAAGCACTTCCCGGTCAGAGCCAAACTGTTTGTTCCTCCATACAGTCCTCCCCCAAGCAAACCAAAGCCCTTTGATGCCACTGCACTTGATGCCAGCTTTAGACGAAAAGATGAAGACTGGCAGGCTTATTCCAAGCACCTAACAGCTGAAGTAGTCAAGAGTGTGGCTGAGCAGAACTCTTGGCAATCGATCGACAGGACGATGGTTCGAGTCACTGCTGAGCAATTTCCACCGCCTCGCAAGGCTCAGCCAGTTGCAGGGCCCATTCAGCAGGCTTACTGGAAAAAGGTGCGCCAAATTCAGGAGCACAAGCGATCCGGTAATGGGCAGTCTCCTGAGTGCCAACAGCTAATCAGCGACATAAAGACAGAGGCCCAATCTTTCAAAAAGTTGCAGAAGCAAAGAAAACTTGAAAAGCAGGAGAGGCTCCTTCTTCAAGCCCAAGAGGACAAGAGACAGCAGTCTCACAAACTGTCCCAAGCCCTTAGAAAGCTGGCCCCATGGAAACCTGCTCAAAGGGTCAATCTCAGGGATTCAGCAGGTGAGCCCCTAGATGCGAAGGCCTCGGCAAGTGCGATGCGAGAGTATTCGAGTCACATCTTCTCCAAGGGATCTCCCCTGGATCCGGTGGCAGCCAGACCACGAGAGGCTGTCAATGCCTCGCAGGTGGCCGAGCAAATAAAAACAATTCCGGTGGGCAAGGCGGTTCCCAGCATGTCGGCCCCGGTCTCGGCCTGGAAGAGCTTAGCGCCTGAGGCTCATGTGAAGATCGCTGATCTGATAAACACAGAGGTTTCTCAGTCAGATATCTCACCGTACTTGAAGGACCCCAGAATTGCATGGATTCCAAAGCCGGGTAAGCCAGCTACAGCTATGAAGAACTTGAGGCCCATAGGAGTAATAAGTGTTCCAGGCAAAGTGCTTGCAGGTGCTGTCAAGACTCGCATAGCACCGGCACTGCAAGAGCGCTCACAGCTTGAGCCGCAGTTTGCATATATTCGGAAGCGAGGGGTGCGAGATGCCATTGCAAAAGCGTGTCAGCATCTGGATCTCGTGCAGGAAATGCGCCAAGAGCATCGCCGGGATATGCACAAGGCACAGCAAGGTCAGAGAAGGCTCCCATTGGCAGGGGCCTTAACAGTCTCCGTCGATCTGAGCAAAGCCTTTGACTCTGTCAACAGACAAGAGTTGCTTGAAGCCTTAGACAAGCTCAACATAGATCAAACCACTAAGGACTTTGTTGTACAACTCCACTCCTGTACATCGTACAACATGGGCACTAATGGGCTTGAGTTCAGTGTTCCTACTTCTTCGGGAATAAACAGGGATGTAAATTAGCTCCTGCATTGTGGTCTGCCTTAACCTTGCTAGTCATGGACAGGATGGAGAAGAAGTGGGGGCCTGGCAGCAGTCAGGCAAGAGATATACTCACTGTCTTCGCTGACGATTTTCTCCATCAGGAAACTTTTACAAGCTTTGCCGAACTGCAGCAGGTACTCACTCGGCTTGAAGCTTTGTTTCAATCCCTCGAGGAAGTCGGCCTTGAAGTCAATCCAGCGAAATCCAAGGCACTGCTCATGGTGCAAGGCACTCAGCAACCCCTCTTCCGCAAGCAATACACCAAACGATTAAAAAATCAGCTCCATTTGGTTCTTCCCTCGGGGCATCAGATTCCGATTCATCATCAGCTGACCTATCTAGGAGTGCAACTAAGCTATGGTGCTTACAAGGATCAAACAGTAGACTACAGGATTTCTCAAGCCCAAGGCAAATTTGAGCTCCTTAGGAGTATCTTGTGCACGACGAAGGCCCTTGACGAGGCGAAGAAACTAGAGATCTGGCGAGTGTATGTCGAGTCTTCGCTCTTGCATGGCATAGTCTCCACGGGAATCACCCACACGGGACTGCAAAAGCTCCAGAGCAAATATTCTCGGATGCTCAGATCTATCTTTCAGCAGCATCAGCATTTTAGTCGCATGGAAACCACAGAGCTGTTTGAGCACCACAAGATCCAAACTCCTCAGGAAGTTCTTCTCAGGCAAATGAGGAACTATCAGGATGCGATGGATGCTGCCAAGCCAACAGGCAACTTACAAACGATCCAAGAGTGCCTGGGTCTACGCAGCCGGCTGATTAGTCAACAGCAGCTACTTCAATCCATGCAATTGGCTCTGGCCGAAGAAGATCATGCAGTGCCCTGTTCGCTATGTGATAGAAGTTTCTCTAGCAACAAGGGATTGCAGCATCATACACTAGTGAAGCATGGAGGCCAAAGAGCAAACCAGTTGGGCCCTAAATTCCAAGTCTTCGCACATAGTCTGCAGGGACTCCCGCAATGTGCCGCATGTCACAAACAGCTGCGCACAATGCATCAGCTTCGCAGACATGTTGAATCGGGAACATGTTCAAAGCTTCCAGAGCTGAGGGAGCGATCATCGTCCTGCTCAGGAGCGGAGAGCACAGCCCTGCTCCAACCAAGTGTTCAGGATCAATTGAAAAGAGACCCTGACCTGCTTCTCAAAAAGGCTCATGTGACCAAGCACTTGCGGGCTTACTGCAGCCTCTGTGGGCAGTTCATTGTCGGTCACAAGGGCGTCAAACAGCACATTCAGAAAGCGCACCAGGCTTTCTGGGCAGGGGCCTCAGACTCAGTCTATGCCAACATGCGCACACATAAGAGACTGCTTCATAAAAAGGAGGAATGCAGATATTGTGGAATGATGGTTGACGCTCCGGTTCGCCACGCGGACCAGTGTGTAGTCCTGCTGCAGGTCTATGCCATGAGTGCAGCAATGAAAAAGTCTACCGACCCACACATAGAATATGGCACTGTGACGTCGGAACTTGGGATTCGTGCGCAGGAGGGTTCCTCCCAGGAGGCTTCCTCCACCAGTAGGATTCGGTCTCACCAGGCACCAGCAAGCTCCCAGCGAGACGCACCAGCAGAGGGGAGACCTTCGTCAGTGCCCGTCACAGCCTGGTCTCTGGCCTATCATAATCCGCATCAACTGTGCTATGCACACACAGTAGTGCATATCCTTGCCTCGCTTGCATCAGAGGGTATTCTTTCTGATCCATATCTGAGACAAATATTGACGGAAATTGACGCAGTAGGGGGTCGTTCTTCTAGTGTGGATGTTCGTAGGCTGCGACAGCTACGTCCTCTGCTGACGGGATGGCGATTCAGACCCAGGCAAGAAGATGCATCCCAGTTTCTAGCACATATCATTCAGAGATCCCATGTGCTTTCAGCAGATGTTTGGGAAGCGAGGGTTCAAATCACAGCACCCGTGGAAAGAATCAGCGTAGAGGATAGAGGGGGTTTGATTCTTTTCTTGCCTGACCCACCAGATGGCCTCTCCACACTACAGCAAGCCATTTCTCAGTGGGCGCACAGGGGGAGCACCTATGGGCTACTCCCGGGAGTGAACCTGGTTTGCATTCAGATCCAAAGGTTTGAGCACTTGGAGAAAACAAATCGGCCTCAAGTTTTAGACACAACTCTGGAGCTTCCAGAGTTTATAGATAATGGCACGACAACCGCTGTGGTCAGCTTTCGACTATATGCATTCATCATTCATCTAGGAGATGATTGGAGATCTGGGCATTATAGGACAGGTTTTTTGAGAGAAGAAGTGGCGTATCTCGCAGATGATGACCGCTCACCACGGCGAACTACGCTCCTCTCGGATCAAATTTGCCAGGGATCGTATTTGGCTTTCTACGTAAGGGTCTAGCTCGCTCTACCTTCGCATGCGGAGGTTTCCTCCGGAGGCTTCCTCCGCAGCAGTGTTCTTTCTTCTTAAAGTAGACCTATCTGCCTGCTGTTGCCTAAGGCAACTCGGCATGAACGCTGCCCTGCGCGCAATAAAGCCATGATCTCGTGCTAAGATGTATAGTCTCTTGCGTGAAACTTTCACATGCGGAGGTTTCCTCCGGAGGCTTCCTCCCCGGTAGTGTTTCTCACAGTAGACCGTTCTGCCTGCTGTAGCTTAAGGCCAAGCTGACCCATTCTTGTCCCTGAACCTGAAGCATCTGAAAGAGCCCTGCGCGCACTTCAGAACATGTGAGGTCTCCTCCAGGTCGGTGGGTTCAGCTTAGGGTCACTTTTTCGGATGCAACTTTGCCTTGTCGCAGCGCTGGCCCCGAGAGCCGTGCAAGGTGTCCCAGGTCAGGTGCTTCCCTCTTCGCAAAGTACTCGTGCCTATGTGAGACCTCCTCGTTAAGTTCGGTCAGTTGGGGTCACATTTCTCGACCAGGAATGCAATTTTGCCCTGTCGCAGCGCTGGCCCCAGGAGCCGCGCAAGGCGTCCCAGGTCAGGCTTCGCAAACTTAGCTACCCTGCCTCCAACTTGGGCATCCTTCTTGGAACGTGCAAGGACGCCTTGGTGCGCTCTGCCTACGGCCCTCTGCCAGTTGTTTAGCGTTACCTGTGTGAGACGTCACTAGACAGGAACGCTGAGTGTCGGCCTCACCAGAGGTACGGCTCGCTAAACAGCTGGTGCGTGGGTGCTGGACGCAGTGACTCACAGTAGGGTGTCGGGGTAGCCGCGCTTATTTTTCACTCTTTTGCAGTGCTGAGTACTTGATATCGGAGGCTGCCTCCGTGCCAACTTCAATTTCTTCATTGATTCATTGCATCAGATTAGGAGGTTTCCTCCTGAATATCCTTAAGACTCTGCCAAAGCAGATTCAGTATAGCAGGTAGTGAGACCTGGCAATCTGGAGGAAGCGATCCTCTCGAAGTCCAAAAGGCCGGACTGTGAAATAAAAAAGGCGGGTGAGACCTTCTATATCACACTTGCCCGCCTTAATCACACCAAACTCAGCTAGCGCACAGCTATAGCCTGCAACACAACATCGGGGCCAGCCGGCACTGCAGCAGTCGCGGGTGCAGGTGAGCCAGTAGGAAGCGGTCGTAGGGTGCCCAGCCAGCACAGCGCTATCGCAGCCCCGAGGGGCGGATGCATTCCACATACTCGAACATAGCTGTGCACAACAATCTTCAGCAGCCCCGAGGGGCGTGAAGTACGAACTAGCAAAGACTGCTGGAGCTCCCAAGGCGGATACAGAGTAGCCGACGTGCCGAGGATCCAAAGTGATCAGAGGTCCACATGCTGATTCTGGCAGTGAGTGCAATGCAAATGTTGTTGTTGTTGTTGTTGTTGTTGTTGTTGTTGTTGTTGTTGTTGTTGTTGTTGTTGTTGTTGTTGTTGTTGTTGTTGTTGTTGTTGTTGTTGTTGTTGTTGTTGTTGTTGTTGTTGTTGTTGTTGTTGTTGTTGTTGTTGTTGTTGTTGTTGTTGTTGTTGTTGTTGTTGTTGTTGTTGTTGTTGTTGTTGTTGTTGTTGTTGTTGTTGTTGTTGTTGTTGTTGTTGTTGTTGTTGTTGTTGTTGTTGTTGTTGTTGTTGTTGTTGTTGTTGTTGTTGTTGTTGTTGTTGTTGTTGTTGTTGTTGTTGTTGTTGTTGTTGTTGTTGTTGTTGTTGTTGTTGTTGTTGTTGTTGTTGTTGTTGTTGTTGTTGTTGTTGTTGTTGTTGTTGTTGTTGTTGTTGTTGTTGTTGTTGTTGTTGTTGTTGTTGTTGTTGTTGTTGTTGTTGTTGTTGTTGTTGTTGTTGTTGTTGTTGTTGTTGTTGTTGTTGTTGTTGTTGTTGTTGTTGTTGTTGTTGTTGTTGTTGTTGTTGTTTTTGTTATTATTGTTGTTTTTTGTTATTATTGTTGTTTTTGTTATTTTTGTTGTTTTTGTTATTATGGTCATATATGTTATTATTGTTATTATTTTTATTCGTGTTATTATTGTTATTCTTGTTATTCTTGTTATTCTTGTTATTCTTGTAATTCCTGTTATTCTTGTTATTGCTTCTTTTTTTGTATTATTATTATTATTACTACTACTGCTGTTGTTGTTATTATTGTTATTATTGTTATTGTTGTTGTTGTTGTTGGCATGTTGGTTGCTTGGCTGTTCTTGCCACACCTGTTGCAGCCTGAATCCGCATGTGAAGCCGGATGTTGAAGCCAAGGCTTGGATGTCGAGCACGTCGCAATGGCAAAGAAGAGAAGCCGGGATCCTCATGCAGCGGGGGACGTCCTGAAAAAAGTCCTTGACAAGCACCACCGCCAGCGCGAGACGCGAAATTACGATCCCAATGCCCACAAGGCGCCGGGACCTGTCCTGGAGTGTCCACAGAGCGAGACCTCAGCCTGAAAAATATGGCCGGCAGGACCCTGTGACTGACGACTCCGAGGTTGCGGCGGCACCGATTGAAAGCGCTGCAGAGGCTTTGCTGCAACGCGAGGCAGGGATGGGAACAGCTTCAAGTTTTAGCATGTGGTCGAATCATGTCGAATCATGCTCCTGTTTAACGCTTCAAAGTTCTCTGAATTCGAGATGGCATGAGGCCCCACAAGTCCTGGCTTCACAAAACTCTATTGTGACCTGCTTGCTGCACAGGCGCAGAGGTCCGACAAGGAAAAGGTTTCACACCATTCCTTAGACGCGAGCCTTTCCAACAAGATTCCATTCGTCGATGACATTGCACAAGCGGTCGAGGACGTCTCAGGCACGGGCCTTTCGCCTGGCGACTTGAAAAAAGCTTTCGACAAGGTGAAAGACGTCAATGCAGTAGAGTTTGTGCAGAATACGGTGATCGACACCGTCGAGAAGGCAACCACCGTTTTGACCCGTAAGCCCTAAACCCTAATATACCCTAAACCTTCAAGCCTAACCACCCTAACCCCTTCGAGGCAACCGTCATTCTGAGGGCCTTCACCACGGGCTTCGACTTCACAGAGGACTGTTCCGTGCCCGTACCAACATTCGGGTACAGGTCCAGTTTCCCCCCTTCTTTTGTTCTGAACTTCGGCCACTCATACTGCAAAGTAACGCTTGTTGGCCAAGGCCTCACGCTCTTCGACAACAATATTGGTGAGGTAAGCGTCCCCTTGCCGAATCCGCTGGACCATTTGCCCGAGCAGGTAGGAAGAGTGGCACGGGCAAACTTGGATACCATCCAAAGGATGCTCGAGATGAGCCACGATCTGTTGCACGCACACGACTGCAACAGAGGCAATACCTTCAACTGCCTGGCGAGAAAGGTGGCAGCGGATGTTATGCGCATGGAGCCACCATTGAACTGGCTGCCAGGCCCGGTGAGGCGCGTTGCCGACTTTACTCAGGAGGCGGTCGACCGGTTGTTCCAGATGATCCACGTCCTGCTGAACACGGACCATTGCAACAGAGCCGATACCTTCCATTGCATGGCCAAGCTTGTGGCAAGTCATGTCATGGCCTTCGCACCACCCCTGAAGTTTCTGCCCCAGCAGCTGCACACAGTCGTCAATGCCGGCCAGGAGGGCGTCGACAGGATCTTCGCGATGGTCCGTGATCTTCTGAACACTCCTCATTGTGACAGAGGCAACATCTTCCACTGCATGGCCAAGAAAGTGGCAAACTACGTCATGGATTTCGCGCCACCCCTGAACTGGCTGCCCAAGCAGTTGCACCTCGTTGTCGACGCAGGAGAGGAGGGGGTCGCCAGAGTCTTCGCAATGATCCGCGATCTGCTGAACACGGACCATTGCAACAGAGCCGATACCTTCCATTGCATGGCCAAGCTTGTGGCAAATCATGTCATGGCCTTCGCACCGCCCCTGAAGTTTCTGCCCCCGCCCGTCGGAGTTCTTGCAGGCTCGCCGGTGACGTCCATCACGAGCTTGTTGGCTATGGGGAAGGACCTGCAGAATTGCGAAAGTTCCGAGTCAGGCCATGAAGTCACGAGATGCCTCGGCTTCAGGATCATGGAGGAGGTACCTCCTCTGAGCTACTTGAACAAGCTGGGTGATGTGATCGGTGAGACCCTCGAGACCTTTGCGAAGGTGGCCACTTCCTTGGCAATGAAGGCCCTACGCGGAGGCACTTCCCTTATCCAGGAGGCTAGTGTGTCCCAGTTCCCGCCTGTCGGAAAGATGCCGGTGCGCCACCAGCGTGGCAACCTGGTCGTCGAGATGCACTCCCAAGAGATGCATCCCTCGCTGTTGCAGTTTGCTGCAGCACAGAGGGAGCAGGATGTCCTGCACTCGGAAGCGCCAAAATTGCAGGCTGGTGATGATGTCCACGTCACCAATTTGATCACCCAGTTTAACGGCAGGGAGGCCAATTCCGGCTCTTGCTTGGCTTTTGCTCCCCGGAGCAAGAACGGAGCTCACGTTGGCAACCATCAGGAGGCAACGAAAGACGACTGGACGTCTGCCAAGAAGGAGGACTTCGTCCAGCTGGAGCCTTGGGCGGTGCCCTGCGACAACACCTGGATGAAGGAGAACGGGGTCGTGAGATCGCATGGTTGCATGTTGGCGAACTTTAGATACGCATCATAGCAATTTCAGCAGACGCGTGGAGGTTTCAGGTGGTTTCGGGTGTGGTGAGTGGAGTGAGCGAGCGAGTGCCTGAGAGTTTGTAGGTGTACTGAGCGTGATGAAAAAAAACGTTCCAGGAGAACTGGAACAAGTGGCAGGGCTACTCCTTCTACACTGCAAAGACGCCCGTGGAGAAGTGCCTGACAGTGGAATTTTCCATGAGCATTCAGCCTGTGCTGGCCGCCATCGGAGGCTTGGGTTTCGATTTCCTGCCGAAACTCTACGATTTGGTCACCACCGTGTGTTGGCCGAACCAAATGCCGGGTGGCCTCGACTTGTCCGTCCTCCGTTCCGAAATCAAAACCGGTGGCCACCTTCTCTTCAGCCGGACACTGCGGCTTGCGAAGCGTTTCGGCGATGAAACGGACTTCGTCAAGAAGAACCTGGGCAGCAGCTACAAGACCTGGAGGTCTTCCGTTGGTATCGCCAAAGGGGAGAGCGGGAATGCAATTGCACCCATGTCGCTTCTAGGGGGCAATCGCAGTGAGCAAGGCGAAGGAGGTGGCCAACAGACCGAGTCCTGGTACTGGAGGAGCGACCCTGAGGAAGCCTACCTGTCTTCCATCGACTATGGTGACTCTATGGAACCCAACCGGACCTGGGAATTGCGAGGGGCGGATGCCATGCTTCGCCTGAGCAAAATGCAGGACGCCCGCAAGTTGGGCCAGGAGGAAGTCGTCGAGCTCTTCAGCTTCAAGAAGCCAGGAATGTCGAACTTCCACATTCGAGGCCTCCTTGACGGAAACAGTCTGGAGTTGGGCGTCCAGATGGGTTTCGGACCTTTCCAGAGCCCAACTCGGAGGATTCTCTTGGCTGACATCGGAGTGCAGTTTGCGGTCGTCCTGGGCGCAATCCCTTGGATCTCCGTCGAAACCAAAAAGACGGCCATCGCTGCTTTGAAGGACTTTTGGCCAGGGCAGTCGGATCTAGTTGATCGTCAACCAGCGGACACGTCTTCCATGGTGGCCTGGTTCAAGAGCGAGGACGCCAGTTCAGCTTGGAAAAGCTCGGTGGGCAGCTGGCAAGGTCGTGAGACGAGGGGCAGCGTCACCAGAAAGGTCGAGACTGGCCACGGAGCGAAATTTCCTATTGCATACCTCGCCGGGGACGTCCACACCGGATATGACTTCGGCCAGATCATGAAGCCGGACTTCACCATTTGCTCGGTCACTCGCTATGTCGACGGAGGAGTACAGAAGCGAGTTCTCCAGCACAATCATTCGAACTGGCTTCACGGCCACTGGGCTGGAAAAGTGGGGGTTACGTACTACAACACGTGGGTGCACAGCGAGGGGCAGCACACGGGCTTGACCGATTGGCTCGTCATGTGCGGCAACAGCGCAGGGGTTGTCTTAAGGGGCCAGGAGAAGAAGAACGTCGGACACCATGCGGCGGTGAAGTCCAACGGAGATGCCCACTTGTACATCAACGACGGCCACTTTATGGAGTCTTCGGACTTTGGCGTCATGGAGGTCATCGTCTGGAACCGGGCGCTTTCGGAGGACGAGATGTGGACCAGCATGGAGTACCTGAACTCGAAGCTCGGGCCCCTTCTGCCGCAACCGGCTGACATGTCTTCCATGGTGGCCTGGTTCAAGAGCGAGGACGCCAGTTCAGCTTGGAAAAGCTCGGTGGGCAGCTGGCAAGGTCGTGAGACGAGGGGCAGCGTCACCAGAAAGGTCGAGACTGGCCACGGAGCGAAATTTCCTGTTGCATACCTCGCCGGGGACGTCCACACCGGATATGACTTCGGCCAGATCATGAAGCCGGACTTCACCATTTGCTCGGTCACTCGCTATGTCGACGGAGGAGTACAGAAGCGAGTTCTCCAGCACAATCATTCGAACTGGCTTCACGGCCACTGGGCTGGAAAAGTGGGGGTTACGTACTACAACACGTGGGTGCACAGCGAGGGGCAGCACACGGGCTTGACCGATTGGCTCGTCATGTGCGGCAACAGCGCAGGGGTTGTCTTAAGGGGCCAGGAGAAGAAGAACGTCGGACACCATGCGGCGGTGAAGTCCAACGGAGATGCCCACTTGTACATCAACAACGGCCACTTTATGGAGTCTTCGGACTTTGGCGTCATGGAGGTCATCGTCTGGAACCGGGCACTTTCGGAGGACGAGATGTGGACCAGCATGGAGTACCTGAACTCGAAGCTCTCCGGAGCTTCGTGGAGCTGATGTTGCAGCGTGTAGTCTTCAGAGCCTCCGAAGGTCTCACTTTCTCGGCCTCTCGGAGCATGAGGTGCAAGTTTGATGTCTGGTTCTCAGTAGGGAATGGGGGAATGGGTTATAGGGACTACTACAAGGGATCTTAAGGGACTATCATAGGGATCCATTCCCCCATTCCCTACTAAGCACCAGGTTTAGGGCACCCATTGGCGTTTTGTGGCGTCGTGGCTCAATTGAAGCTCTGAGAATCTCGGGGAGCTCAGCTCCATCTCACCGACTCAGAGGTTCCCCCTGATCGTAGGAATCCTGTGTTCTTTAGAGCTAAGTCTCTCCTGCGATTCTCGGTGGGAAGAGTCTCAAAAGCAATCGCAAGCCGCAGTGCTTTTTCATGGACTGGATTCGTGTGCATTTGGATGCTCGTTGTCGTCCCGACCGAAGGTTGTTGGCTCACAGAGGCGTCATAGAATCTGGAGAAGTTGGGCAACATGTGCACAGTCGCTGCTGTCATCCTCTTAGCTGTTTAGCTTTTGCATGTGATTTTCCATGGTCTTGGCGAAGCTTGTCACGGTGTTGCGATCGCAAGAGCAGCCCTGTGTGAAAGCTTCTGCAGACGCTCCGGAAGCAGGCCGGGATCCTACATTGTCTTGAGGTGTCCTCCAGATGTGCTTCTGTTTTTCAAGTCTTTAGCGTGGATTGGGGGTATCTTAATTGAGTTTCACGCATTACTGTCATGTAACCCTAAACCCCATCACCCAAGGTCGGAGAGCTTCCCCAGGACCCTTAACCTCGAGTCCCTGTGGTCCGGGGCCCTCGCCCCAAAGAGCCGGGCAGCCCGACAAGGTGAGCAAATGGTGTGGGCACAAGTGGAGTGGATGGGTTCTTGCGACGAATTTCTCGGGTTTAGGGTTAGGGTTTGGGGTTTGGGGTTTGGGGTTTAGGGTTTAGGGTTTAGGGTTTAGGGACGATGCAGGGATTTTGAGGTTTTAGCCTGACATGCTACACCCTAAACCCTTAGCCCTTAATTCCGAAACCCTAAGCATAGGGGTCCGGGCTGCAAAACAAATATTCTACCTAAACCGAGGTCCGGAAAGGTCGCAGGGTTGACTGCAGCTGAGAGGTTCAACTATGAAGCCCCTGCCTTCGGTCATGAAAATGGAGGTTTTGAGGTCCCGAAACCCTAAACCCTAAACCCTAAATCCTAAACCCCAAAACCCAAAACCCTAAACCCTAAACCCCTAAACCCTAAACCCTAAACCCTAAACCGGGTATACAGATCTCAAGAAATTCTAAGGGATAGTGTCGAGCAGGGCTTCTTGGAGGCTTGCGGGCTAAGTTTGTTTGGGTTTAGACGGTTTAGGGCTGGGGTTTGGGGGGGTTTAGGGTTTCAGGTTTAGGGTTGAAGGTTTAGGGACAGGGACCTTAATGATTACGAATCCTATTTTGGTTGGGGACAGGGACCTAAATGATTACGAATACTTTTTTGGGGGTCCGGATTTTAGTGATATAATATCCACCAAAACCTTATTCTCATGTTTTAAAGGCTCCTCTATTATAGTACCATTCTAGATCCCTTGTAGCAACCCCTTGAAGGCACCCTTTAACAGGAACCATATCTAATGATTCATTAAATCCAACACCCGTAAAACCCCAGAGCCTACGTCAGACGCCCGAAAGTCTTGAACCCTCACCCTCAAAACCCATATAGACCCCCCTAGTAGCCCTTCCTAAGTCAGTCCCACGATCCGAAGGCTTACCGGGGTCTTGAGACATGGTGCCAAGATGACTGGGCTCTCGGATGGCGGGACTTTGGTTAGCTTGCTGAGTTCACAAGTGGTTTACGGGGACCCTAAACCCTAAACCCGTCCCCTAAACCCTAAACCCCAAGCCCTAAACCCTAAGCCTGAAACCGAAGACTTCCGGTCTTCACTGACACCGCCCCCGCTCAAGCTGGGGTCGACGGATATAGCGGTTTTATAGGGGAATAAGATTCAGGGCCCTTCCAGGGGTCCCTCCGTATCTTAAACTCTGCCATGCCAGAACGAGCTTGTATCATGCAGTAGGCCATCTAAGCAGCGTTATGGGTGCCACATGTCCATCCAGATCCGCACTTCCACAAGTGCCTGAGCAGTAAGCACTTGCTGCGCAATTGAGCTTGCGTATCAGAACTTCACAGAGAAGGCAGATACTCCTGCAAACCCCGTAAGGCTTCGCGTAGCATCATCCACATTCTCTACAGCGTGTTGCTCCACATCGCGACTTTTTTGTGCCAAGTGCAAGGGATGATGCGGGATGGAAGGGCTTGTTGGAGACCTCTCACTCAACCGTTGGTCACATTTCCCGGCCTTTGCTACAGGACCTGCAACCCTGGCAACCCCTTGGAACACAGACCCCGACCCTTGAAGCTTCAAGCTCCAAATGCTGCTGAACACAGGCTGGGAATCGTGCACAACGGAAGGGGCTGAATTCGGTGCAGATGAACGCGGAGCATGTTGGCAGGAATGCCCCAGACATGCTCCTAAATCAGCAACAAATTCATGCAACAGAACTTGCCGATCAGGCATGCGCCTGCGAGAGGATCAGAGCTTGTTCGGCTAGCGCCTATGGAGAAGAAAAACAACCAGTCTTGGGAATGGTTCCCTATTGTTGGATCGACGTTTGTCCTGCTGAGGCTACCAACGTTAAGCTCCTCAACCTGGAAACGTGTGGCTTGGGGTGTTGATCACAGGGCCCCGAGGACGCTGCAGATGCCAGAACGTGTGGGAAATCTTTGTCCCAAAGCTTGTCAGCATGGGCAGTATATTTCTGATATGGTCTCGCAATTGCGGGTGCTTGCATGTATCCGTTTCTAAACAGCTTCTCCAGCTCTTTGCACCGAAGCATGAGATGGTTCCCAGTTCCGAATTTTCTGCGTGCTGCAAGCTTTGCACAATTGCAACTTGTTTGTCTTGATTTGCTCCAAGCGCAGACGCTTTGATGAATCAAGTTAACTTGGCGAGAAGCCCTTCATCAGAAACTGTTCAACATGGGTGGCAACAGCAGTTGTGGCGGCCTCAGCGGAAGTGAGCACGGGTTTAGCTGTGCTTTACTGTGCAGGAATCCCTGAAGTGCTAGCACCACGTCCAAGACTCACTTCGCCCCCAGCTTGCCCAGGCTTTGAGGGTTTCAGCCCGCCCGCGAAGCCGAAAGGGAAGCTTGTCCTCAAGTATTTCGACATTGCAGGCCACAAGTGCTCTTTTGTTTGCTTGTGTGTTTGCTTGTGTGTGTGTGTGTGTGTGTTTGCATGCTTTATGTGGTGCATCGAGCTGACATGGTTGCATGATGCGTGCGTGTAGGTTGCAACTCTATCATGGCGGTTCATCACATGATTGAAGAGACCTTCAGTGGCACATGCACTTGTCCTCGTCATTCAGCTGTATGTCAAGTGTATGTGCGTCGGCTTCCATGATGCGAGTTAGGTTTGTGAGGTTGCCGGTACGAGTCCAAAATCGGTTCTGTGTCTGACAACTTTCGTCTGCACAGCAAGGCTGCCGTTTGGGGCTAGGAAGCGAAGGGATGCAGACGTGGCCCGTATGTGCGTCAAGAGACGGAAGCCCGGGTATTGCCCTGCTCCCTTGGTTCTCCGAGATAGAACGGCCATGGGTTTGCAGCAACGGTGGGTGGGATAGCCTGTCTGCTCTGACCCCTACCCCAGTGGATGTTCAGAATCGTAACCCGAAACCCTAAATCCTAAACCCTAAACCCTAAACTCCAAAAATCTCAAAACCGGCGACGTGCTAGGCCGAGGGGAGGTGATCCGCTTGGCGCTGGTCCTTGGTGGGTGGGGGCCCTCTGTGAAGTGTGTGTGGGGCTCACCAGAGAAATTGGCGGTTGTAGGGTTCAGGGTTTAGGCTTCAGGGTTCAGGGTTTAGGGTTTTGGGTTCAGGGTTTAGGGATTTTAGGGTTCAGGGTTTAGGGTTTAGGGTTCAGGGTTTAGGGATACAGAAGCCCTAAACCCGAAACCGGGGTCGGGTTTTGGAACCTCTCGGATCCTGGGCACATCTTTGGCAAGGGCCGGGCCGTTGTCAATATGTCACAGTCCTCGGGTTGTGACAGGTTCGGTATATCGAGCACGGAGCAAGTGGGACTCCGAACCCCAAAACACCTGTAAAAGCCCTAAACCTTAAACCCTAAACCCTGACCCCTCGCCCCTAAACCCTAACCCTAAACCCTAATCCGTAAGCACAAGACCCTATGCTAAACCCAAACCCCAAACCGTAAGCCCCTCGCCCAAAGACTTCGACATTCTGTTTTCTGACAGGTATGACTTCCAGGATGTACGATTTCGAGGCAGCTTGGGTATTGGGGGGTTCTTGTCGTGAGATGTCTGAGTCTTTGTCGTGACGGTTTGTGCGGGCCCGGGGCCTGCGGGGCTTGCGTGGCCAGGGTACTTTCCTCATGTTCCCCAAGCCCAAGCCCCCCAAATCTTCGGAGCTGCTTCGCCGCCCCCAGCACCTTCAAACCCCAGCCGAGCCTGGATAAACTGCATTGCGCATCACGCCAGCTGACGAGTGGGAGGGCAAGGAGAAGCAGGCCGCAGCCCTGAGAGTTCGGCAGCTGAGAATCGAAGCTACACAGGTGTTGGGGGTGTTGGGGTTCGAAGTCCAATCCTTGGGGCAAGTTTGAGTACTTAGGCCTCGGACCTGCCACAAGCATCATTTGCACGAAACCTCTGTCGATTGAGGCAGCGCCGTACCACCAGCTTCCAGCCAGGAACTCAGCCAATTTCAATGAGAGGCGGATGGAGGATGCGATGTTTCCACAGCTCCGGAGAAATGCTTGGGCATGCCTTATGTAGGAACTGGAATTCCCCGCCCCCCGCCCCCCACATCGTTTTTGGAGTCCCCTGAGCCACGATGCAGGTGCTCCTCATCGATGGGAAGCCGCTGGCACAGACCAAAGCGATCCTGAGGCCCCAACAGGAGGGGGGGGGTTCTTGGGGTTGACCTCTCGTATCCTTGGGAGAGCTGAAT